CCAAAATAAAATTTGTTTTCATCATTCGAAAGAATAAACCTGAGTTTCTCAATATTTTTTTCAAAATGAGTTCATCAAAGCCTATAAGCCAATGGAAAATAACTATTTAACAAAAATGTTCAAAATTTTGGTGGGAAAAGCTATAGCATTCAAAGGATTAATTACCTCAATGTAATTTGTTATATATGCACAGGAAAATGGATTAAGTATGCACTCCTAAGAATTCTGCACTTATCCTTATTGAGTTTATTTTAAATGTTACCAGTAAGAGAACACACTTTGTTCATGTTTTGCATGTATCCACAACAACATTTGCATGGTGAGAGGTAAAAATGCTGTCACAAGGTGTTGGCCCATACAAAGGAAACAATTACAGGATTTACAGCTATCATATTCAGTATATACCGGTAAAAGCATATTAGATGAAAATTTTTTGTTGTTGCCATTAAGAGTGGTATGAGATGATGTAACAGGATTGTTGGTAAGACAGGAAAACAGCTTTACCATACTTCCCTGGTCATAAGCCCCTCCCTGGGTATAAGCCCATCCCCTTTATTTTTAGACATTTAACGAGTTAAGGTATCCCCAGTTATTAGGCCCAGGTGTTTTTTACTGGTGACGACAATAGGTTAAAATTTATTAAAATATGCATGTAAAAAGGTAGTTTTATTGCATAAAAATCGTGATTACATTGTCAATAATTATAAAATTTTGTCAATAGGACACAGCATTTTGATTTTAACAGACAGACTTGACCTGTTAAATCAGAGGGCGTTTCAGGTCAAATCGTTCTGAAAAACATAATGGCGGAAATTGCTTTGCATGTGTTCAAAAACATCATATAACGAAGATAATGAAAAAGATCTTGTGTTTGACTGTTTTCCCACAGACCCTACTCATTTTTACTGTAATAAAATGTGCATATTTTTGTGAACATGTTTGTTTCTTCATTGTAAACATTTGGTGGAAATTAATGATGACTCATTTTGCAATATTTTTTCTTCAATAAGATGTAAAAATGGAATTTGGATAATTTTTCGAGAGTGTAATATGGTTACCAGGTTTTTTTTGAAACTAGGGAACAGCACCCTGATACTCGCGGCTGGTGCCCTCTTATTGAATTGCTGATTGAACTTTTAAGTCATAAATATATTCCTTGAGCCACACACTTGCTGCCGTACAACATGAAATCTTTCTCAAATATATTTTTCTCCATGAAAACTTCCCAGCAACACAAGCTGACAATGTGTCTGGACACCAAATACATTAAAATTACTCCAAAAACATTTCAATGGTGATAGATACATTGTTAAAACGGCACAGAAACCTTCCGATATGGCATTTCTAGGTCTATCGCCTGTGTGTGCTCCCTCTTGTTCATTAGAACAAACAAACAAAAATCATCTTTTACAAGGTGATCTTCAATTATAAGCCCACCTGTTACTTTCCTTGATATTACATGTTGAGGGCTTATGACCAGGGAAAGTATGGTAAAGATGATAAATACATGTATTAGGTAGTTAGTTGCAAGAGAAAAATCAGTTTGAACTTGTTTTTATATATTCTTATAGTGATTTTACCCCCTTGCATATATGTACATTACCTATCCAATATTGTGCACTTGGTCCTATCCATAAGTTCGGCAATGTTTTACCTTCAATAGTTTCAGTACCAACAAATGTCTTGATGTTTTCCATGTATGTTGTACTTGGTTGTAGTTCAATTGGCGCCAGACCTCCCAGAGCACACAAAATAATAAATAATATGATCTGTATGACAGTTATTGTATAAATGAACACAGGTGTAAATTCTGGCAGGGCTTCTAGCTGGGATCTAACGTATGCCTGTTCAGTATAATTTCTATTTGGTTCTGTGTTTCTATTGCCAACGTAGGCCTTTTTAGTGTAATCTCTATCTTGTCTTGTGTTTCCAGTGGGAATGTAGTTCTGCTTAATATCATCTCTATCTTGTCTTTTGTCTTTAGTGCCAACAGAGACCTGTTTAGTATCATCTCCTGCATTTTCAGTGCCATCGATACCTTTAAAATTGCCAGGGTAAACAGAATATTTCTCTGAAAGTGAAAAATAAATATATGAAATATTTCAATTCAATTTTTCTGAAGAAAATGAACATCTTCCTGACCATCCAACCACTGATATACCATGTTAAGAAATTGACACCTAAAGTTGCACACTGAAATAATCTTTGTTGGTAGTATGATTCTGCATGAATTGCGGGAAATTAACACATGATATAATAATGAGTAGTTTTGGTGTTTGAAGTTTTGTACAATTGTGTTAGCAATGCAAATTGTGAATTCCAAATTTCAGTTTTACTGCATAAATTGTATTGAGCATGTTGTATGTCATATATACCTCTTGCTTCCTTTATCATATCTTCTAGTTCTTGCTTTTGTTGCAATAATTCACTTTCAATTTGTCTTCTCTTTTTCTTGCGTCGTTCCTTCTTGTCTAACTTTTCTATCTGAAAGAACATACAACTTACATGTAGCCTAGAATATGCATGTAGATATATACATATATACGCCCCTCTCGAAAATGCTTACGGTAAATCATAACCTTTTCTATGACAAATTTAAAACTTTTTTTGACATAACTTTTTTATTGTTTGACATGCACTTTCACATGGGTAGTAGAACATACTTCCATGCAATAACTCATCAAAACCTACCCTCAAACATCACACCAAAATGTTGATCAAAACTAAATAAATGCATATTTCTTTTCATTCATTAAACAGTTTATCACATGCACATGGGTAGTTCTATTGATTTAAAGTTTTTTTGTGTAGATATTATATGAAATAATTAGCTAAGCTAATTCACATACATTCCAACAAATTTATAAAACATGAACTAAAACTAAAAATGATGAATTACTTGTGCAAACAGTAAACATTAAACTGCATTGATGAACCTTAACTAACTATCAATGCAAGTATGACAGAAGAAAACATAGTGCAGGGTTAAAAGATTGTGTGATTATAGGAAATTCTGGGTACACAGGTACAGAATTAAAAGTGGCCAATGAAAATTTGTTTTGACATCTACATAAATCTTAAATACCTGTATAAAGTGTCTGTAATATTGTAGAGCATCTGCCATATATATATAGTCAGTGATGTCGCTGTCATCATCTTCATAGAATGGATTTGGTGTCCAGACAAAGCTATCTTTGGTGCCAACCTTAACATTTTCTGCAGATCTCTGACTGTATTTACTGAAAGAAGTCACCGATTCGTTTGTCTTTAATGACGGAATAATACTTTCTTCTGACTGATTCAGGATTTTGGCAGTTATCTGAGATGAGATTGGTAACCTTGCTAGGGATCTTCTTCCCCGACTATCCATTGAGGTTAGTGACACCAAACTAACTGTACTTGCATTTTCCATACAGTGATAACTCAGAGGTCTGCGTCCTGAAATTGAATCTTCTTTCAGCTGTGTCAGCTCATTACTACATGTACTCCCTCTGCTACTAGTATTCCTAACAACTTTTTTATCCTGGTCAATCAGTTCAAGACTTCTTTTAGTTTTCAAGTCAGCAGCAAACAGCGCAGTTTTACTACTATATTTGAAGGTGAGTGGTCTTTTCATTTTAGATTTGGATTTGGACTTGTCTGATCTTACACTTAATGCTGTCTCACTTTTTGACTTCTTCTCTAGAACATCTATTGATTCTGAAGTAGGTTTGCTAACTAGTTCAAGTTCTCCAATCTCACTTTCTTTTGAATGTATTTCTTCCATAGCTATTTCTTCACACTGCACATCGGCTATTTCATTTATTTCCTCACATTGCACATCGGCCATTTCTGCTATTTCTTCACATCGCACATCAGTCATATCATCTATTTGCTCACACTGAATATTGGTCATTTCATTTATTTCCTCAGGCTGGACACCAGTCATTTCATTTATTTCCTCACATCGAACACATGCCATTTCATCTATGGTAAATTTTTCATTCTTGTCGATATTCTGTGTCTCTATTTTTTCATCACTGTTCACTTCTTCGTCTTCTGATGGGATTTCTTCCCATGCAAGTTTATCGTCAATACTTAAAATGAGCTGTGACATCTTTTCTTCAAGACCACTTTGATCTGAACTTGTTCTGGTCTTCAGATTAGGAAGGGAATTTTTCAGAGTCACCCCTATTTCTCCTGACTGAAAGAAATGAAACTCACTATCAAACACAAAATCTACAAAATAGATAATTTACATTGATAATATTGTTTTTTCCATTATTTATTTGGTTCAACCTAAAGGCAATGACAGTTAATATTTATTACATAGCCACAAATTAAGGATAAAACTAAAATAGTCAAAACAAGCCATGCATGGCACAGTCCCCGTTAGTTATCAAATTTAAGATATATAGTTTTGTTTATAGTAATATAGCTGGAATATAACCATGTCAGGAATATGATTTTTTAACATTAAAATGATTGACATTTGTATCTGTTCGTCAAAATTAGTACTTGTTCATATTGAGAGATATTGCTCTGGAACAGCATTCAAAATCAGCTATTTTGAATACATGTATATATATAACATGATGTACGTATAACGAATATATAAAATTTGAATATAATCAGTCAAAGCATTTAAGAGATATAGCTCAAGAAACCAAATCATTAAAACAAAATGCCCACCAGACAGCCATTTTGAATCCGATCTGAAAAATAAATGATGTGCATCAGGAACCTGTAATGTCTAACATATGTACCAAGTTTGAATGAAATCCATCCATAAATGCTTGATATTTGATGATTTTTTAGCACAAAAATGGCCACCATTTGTCCATTTTGAATAGGATCGTCAAACCAATATATCTGTCTATGTATAATGTAATATTATGTATAATGAATATTTAAAATTTGAACATAATCAGTGAAAGCAAGTCAGAGATATGGCACGAGAACCACATTCATTAAAACAAAATGGCCGCCAGTCGGCCATTTTGAATCTTATCTAAAAAACAAAATTGTTTGCAT